GCCCACGTGATGGCGTAGGCCGGGGCGCATTGGCGCCTCGATCCAAAGCGGGCGGTGGGTGTGGGGGCTGGGTGGGAGTGGACTCCGTAGTGCGCCGCGAAATGCCGGCCGGTAGGGCGATGCTGCAGGCAGGATCCTCCTCCAGAAGGCGGGCCAGGCGGGTAGCGAGGTCCTGTTTAGTCTCCTGGCTGCGTCGGGGCAGCATCTGGGCCTGCGCCAGTGCTACCAGTGCAGCATGTTGTAGGTGCAGGAGGTGTGTGTGTGTGTGTGTGTGTGTGTGTGTGTGTGTGTGTGTGTGTGTGTGTGTGTGTGTGTGTGTGTGTGTGTGTGTGTGTGTGTGTGTGTGTGTGTGTGTGTGTGTGTGTGTGTGTGTGTGTGTGTGTGTGTGTGTGTGTGTGTGTGTGTGTGTGTGGTGTGAATTCCATTAATTACATGCACGTCTTCGTGATTAAAACTGTTCACTGGTGTGTAGGCACTGGATACCACAACCTGAAACAAGGTCAATGTTCATGAGTATGTCCATCCTAAGAAGAGACACCAAAAGGAAAAGAAAGTAAGAAGAAAGGAAAAGAGAAAAAAAAAAGTGGGAAGGAAGCAACCCAGTCCAGAAGCCATAGAAAAGAACCACATGTCCAGATCCAGCAGCAGCCACACACTAAGAAGTTGGCCGAGGCCCCCAAGACGCCCCCCCCGGTTGCCTATCCCATAACCGTTTCACGCCATGAAGGAAACCAGCTAGCGACCGCAACCCTCGTGGAACAAGTGCATCCAACCGCCATGCAAGGTCAGGTCCCAATGTCTCAATACCATGCTGATGCCAAGATGCCCGAAGCCAATCGTAACGTGGGCAATGAAGGTGTGTGTGTGTGTGTGTGTGTGTGTGTGTGTGTGTGTGTGTGTGTGTGTGTGTGTGTGTGTGTGTGTGTGTGTGTGTGTGTGTGTGTGTGTGTGTGTGTGTGTGTGTGTGTGTGTGTGTGAAATTCCAATTACATCCAGCCAAAGTGTTTGTCCCTATGCACAATCCAAGACGGGGCCCATTCACAAGAAATGCGATGTAGGGCGATTGGTGTCCGCAACTGTCCCTAATAATCCCACTCCAGAAAATCTGTAGCGCCTCGTCCAAAGTCGATGCACAGGAACTCTTTGGCAAACGAAAAGAGCAGAAAAGAAAAGAAAAGAAAAGAGTGTTTTGGATTCAATTCCAGGAATTAGATGCAACCCAGATCATATTCTCCATCCCCATGAAGTGCCCCCTTGCTGATTGTCCCAAATGACTTTGATGCGCTGCACAAACGTGGCCAGAACGGGAAGGCTGCTTCGGACCACGGCTGACAGCTCCCAAGGAATAGCTTCCTCCAGCTGGTGACGTAGCATCTCCTGGCAGTAGGCTCTGATGTGATCGTATGCAGGACAGGCTGGAAAAATATGCTGACGATCTTCAATTTCCGTGGAGCAAAATCGACAGGTCGGAAGTGGGGTAAGCGCCTTCTTGAAGAGAAAACTGCGGCAGGGGAAGTGGTCCACAAGGAATTGAGCGACGATGGAGGAAGTGCTCCTTGAAAAGTGTTGAGTCCACTATACTGAGGGGCGGAAGTGCCATCCGCAATTGCGAAGCCCTTGTCCTGACGAGAGAGATGTCCAGCATGTCTCCATGCGCTGGCAGAAGTGCTTGAATAGTTTGGTTTTTAGTAATGATGTACAGTGAGGAAGAGAACGCTGTGTAAAGTGGCCAATCCCCGCTGCTGCCCTCGTGGCTGCTTTGTCAGTCGCCTCATTCTCAGCGATGTTTGAATGGCCTGGAACCCATGTGATGTGGATGGCGGGGATCCAATCGGCAGCTGCCTAGAGTAGCCGTCGAGTATCCACAACCAGTTCTGTGGTGTTGGTGCCCGAAATCAATCCCCTGATGGCCGCTTGTGAATCGGACAGTAAATGTAGTTTTGTGATGTCCCATCGACCCTGAATGCAGCGAATGAAGTCCAGGCCCATCCGTACACCCTCAGTCTCCAGCTGCGTACTCGAGTGTGCTCCCCCTGACCGGCATGAAGGACCAAAGAAACACTGATTGGCCCCCAGGGTAATGATGGTTGCAGCACCAGCTCCCTCCGTTGTGACTGAGCCATCCGAGCTGATCCAAACCGTCGTATCCGGTGCGCTCTGTCGTGCGGTTCTGAGAAGTACTGCAGCTGAGGCCCGATCTGGGAAATGGGCCTGAACCGGAAGAGCAAAATCATGTGGCGGGAAAGGCCAGAGCAGCCGCCGTTCGATATTCGGAGGGTCGGCAAAAACGTCATTAGGAAACACCCTTTGTTGTTGTAGACGATGGAGTTCTGCGCGCAGAATGTCGTCTGGAGCACAGAATGAGTTAATGGCCGAGATACCTGAGGCACTGCGAATGTCCACACCGAATGTGACCATGCGAATCCAGAACTCCAATAACCGACGTTTAATCTCCAAGTCTGGGAGCAGCAGTCCACTGAGGTAGATGGCAGCATCAGAAGAAGATGATTTAATGAGGCCGGTGATCAGTAGGGCAGCCATGCGTAGAACTCGTTCAAGGGGACGAAGAGTAGACCTTTTAGCCGTGACACTCGCCCAAACTGGAGCTGCGTAGTACAAAAGCGGCATGACAGCACCCAGCACCAGCCTGCGGGTGATACATGGGTGTATGCCCCAATAAACTCCACAGAGTTTTTGAATGGTGCGGAGACGCTGGTAGCAGCGGGTAGTCACGTCCTGAATGTGGGGAGTCCAAGATAGCTTGTTGTCAAGGGTGACTCCCAAATACCGAAACGATGTAGTCCTGCACAAGGGCTGGCCTCCTAGAAGTAATGGAGGAGGACTGGGCGAGTTCTGAAGGCGGGAGATGCACATGACGAAAGACTTGTCGATACTGAATTTCATCCTCCAGTCAGCGGCCCATGTATCCACTTGGATTAAGGCCTGTTGTAATTGCCCAAGTTCTGAGTGGCAGCGATCGGTCTCCAGCCAGAGAAGGAGGTCGTCGGCATACTCTTGGATGGATACTGTGGCTGACACTTGGGCGAGGAGAGGTTCCACGTAGAGCAGGAATAGAATTGGGGAAAGTGGAGACCCCTGAGGAACCCCCAGTTCCAAGTGGCTCTGGCGAATTGCTGAACCAACTTGTAAAGATGCCGATCGATTAGTAATGAAACTCTGGGTCCAGTGAATGAGGTAGCTGGGGATGTCTTTTCGTTGCATGGCGAGGAGCAATCCTGGGCCCCAGAGGGTATCATATGCTGCATGTAAGTCCAGTGAGACCACCCACAGCTGACGGCGATTCTTCAAGGCGTGTGACGCGGCTGCAACGAAGTTCCAGATGGCCCACTCCGTACTGCGCTGCTTTCGGAATCCGTATTGATGATGGGACAACTGGTGGTGTGATTCCAGCCAATGAGTAAGACGAGATTTGACCACATTTTCAATGACTTTGCCCACCACCGAAAGGAGCAAAATGGGGCGGTACCCCCCCAACATGTGTGGATCGCGATTCGCCTTGCGTAATGGGATCACCTGGGCCTCCTTCCAGCTTGGAGGGAAAAAATGTAGTCGGAAGCTGGCTTCAGCAATGGCTCGAATGTACGGTACCACAATATCACTGGAGTGACGGAGACACAGGTCGGTGACGTCATCCCAGCCTGGAGCGCCCAATGCACGCATCTCCAAGATCGTTCTGCTGATTTCGTCGGAGGTGACTGAAGGAAATTGACAATCTGCGAATGGATGTTCATCAAACCACTGATTCACTTGAGCGAGTTTGGATTGATGTATAGGTGTGTGTATAGGAGGGTTTTGTTGCGGTGATGCGTTGAAGGGGAGACGGGCCACACAAAAGGCGCCCCTTGCTAAGCGAATGTGCGTGGGGCTCTTTCCCATGTTTAAGAAGAGTACGCAGAGGCATATATGTGTGTAGGTGTGTGTGCGGTGTGTTTATATGTGTCTCTCTGTGTAGGGGAGGATTTTGCTGCAGTGATTTGTTGAAGGAGGGACGGGTCATACAAAGCACGCCCTTTGCTTTTTTCCTGTGTTTTGAGAAGAGTATGTTGGGCCATTGGGGTGTGCAGGTGTGTACGTGTGTATGTGTTGTGTTTATATGTGTCAATATGTGTAGGGGGATTTTTGCGATAATTTGTTGAAAGAGAGACGAGTCATGCAAAGGGCGCTCCCTCCCAAGCAGGTGTGCATGAGGCTGTTCTCTGTGTTGTAAAAAGATCATGCAGGAATAGGATATTTTGCCAAGAGAAAGAGAGACGTGTTGTGCACAGGGCACACCCTCCTGGCCAACTGTGCGTGAGACTTTTTGACATTCTGTGAGAAGCCGATCGAGCAGGGGGGCGAATGGTGGTGTGGGATGTGGTTCGGTGCGATGCCGATCGTCGCGCGCCATTTGAGGCATGTCCACAGGAGTCCCGAACCTGGCGCCGCGGCGGCGAAGCCGCCGCGGCGCCAGGTTCGGCGGTTCGGCGGCCGCCTGGCCCGGGTTGCCGCCGGACCATGGCCAACCGGGTCCAGACCCGCGGGGGCCACGTGGACCTTGGCCCCTGGCCCTCCAAGGGGCGACTGGACCGCACTGCGGCTCGCTGTTCGGTCCACGTCAGGCCCCCGTCCCACCCCACACAAGGGCTCGGCGGCTCGGCGGTTCGGCGGATCGGCGGTCCACGTCAGCCCCCGGGACCCCCCCCTTCCCACCCCGGCCTCGGCGGTTCGGCGGTTCGGCGGATCGGCGGTCCACGTCAGGCCCCCGTCCCCATGGTACCCAACGCCTCTGCGGCTAGGCGGATCAGCGGTTCGGGGGCCCGCGCCGGCCCCCGTCCCCCTTCCCCCTTCCTACCTGGGGTGACCGTTGGTCTTGACTTGCGCGGCACCAACGATCATGGCGGCTGGGCTGTCAGTGGCTCCGTGCTGTCCATCGAGCCCCCCCCCCCAGAGTGACGGGCCGGCCGGTGGGCGTGGTCCGAAGGCAGGAACGGCGGCCGGTGATGGATCCTTGGACCTCGCATGGGCTTTGCAAGACACGCTGGTTGAGCCGCGGCGGCCTGCGCATGTCCCAATGCCCCATCCCCTTGGGCTGTCGGAAGGCAGGTTCGGCTGCCGGTGAGGACCGCACGGAGGCCGCAACACCGTGGGTAGGTACCCGGCATGAAGCCCGGTGGGCGGACAGACACCGCGGGAGGGAATGACACAATTCGTCGTGGTCTCGGTAATTGGCGTTCATGACAGCCTGTCCACCACAAGCGCGGAAGCGCTGGCGGCCTGGGTGTATTCGAGTTGGAAATAGATTCCTGTGGCTGGTCGGAGGCCAGCCGCAGACCTAGTGTTGGAAGTCAGGAAGAGGGAGCGTGATACGTGGAGTGCAAGATGGCCCGGTCCCTCAGCAGTGGGCAGCAGTGGAGCTGTCTTTGCCCCTATGGAAGGTTTGGATATGTTTGGCGTCTGTGGAAGGGGCACCGCGTACGGCCGGCAGTGTGCGGACGGATCTTTGGCGGGAGGTTCGAACGCGCGGCAGGCGCAATTGCCAAAACTCGAGTATCGACAGCTGCACGAGTTTTAACTACAGCGTTCCAACGTTGGCCAAGGGATGCACCACAATGCCCAGCAGTGCCCATGTCACGGGGATTCCAGATCCGCGACCAGAATGGCACGCAGCGGTGTGAATATGTCCAAGCACACTTTCACCTCCTCTTTCCTGATGGCAAACCTGTTGGAGGGACTCGTGTGGGTCGACAGATAAAACCTGCCTGACTGACTTGCCCACCGTCGCCTGTTTCCGTGTACAGGAGATCACCAACCCATGTGTCTTCTGGTACGAGGCTGCAGTGAAGGCCGACCCTCCATTCATTCCTCTGGGGCTGGCGGCCTGCCAGGCATTCGCCATGCATTGTGTGGAGGTTCGGCGGTGGCGGGACCTGAGGAAGCCAGGGTCTGTAAAGCAGGAACCTGTGTTCAGCAACTTCAGCCTTCCCGATCATGAGGTGAGTGCCAAGGCGCATGTTGTTGGTCCCATTGCCAATCAGGTTATGTGGAGGATTGACACTGCTTCGTTGCATACGGATATCCATCCTCTGCTATTAACCCCCGAGTTTGTCCATAGACCCTTTCCTTCCTTAATTTCTGTAAACCACACTTTGCAAAAAGAGTTGAAAATGTGGTGCAGTGCTGTAATATCGCCTGCCCTTCGTTCATAAGGGTGCGCTGTGCATCATTTGTTTTTAATAAGCCATGAAATGCAACGGTCAATCCCAAAACACCGAAGCCCACTCCAGGTGATTTCATCGTATTGCCCAGTGGGCTGGTGGGAGATATCATCAACGGTTTTGGCTCACTTCAGCCCTGCGAATTGGGACAGAATGCAGACTGAATGTCTGCTGAACCTGCCATTAAGTTTACGTCGTTGCAGTTATTCATGGGCATCCCAGTTCTCATGAAGTGGCTGTGCTCAAGCACCAAACTACGGTTTGTATTTGGGGTCTGTGTTTCCAGGACACAGTGCCCCTTTTGAAGCAATTGCAGCGCTGTTTGTGTCGGCTGCGCATTTTCGGTCTTGAAATGTCAGGCTGAAGTATAATTCGAGTAAAACAAATTTATTCTCACCACTGTTGCCAAAGCGCCAGTCCCACCACAAGTTGCAGCTTGGCGTATGCAGTGGAGGAGCTCAGGCTTTGCTTCCCGAATAAGCCTCAATACATGCCAGTCTCATGCCCTTATCCTGGCCTGCCCTGGGCACAGCATCTGTTCAGTCCTTATGGGGTAATAAAATCATCGAATGTGATAGGGCATTGCCATTTCACAGTTTGACAACAATGGATGCTGCTCATGATGCAGGTGTGCGTTCTCAATTTCCTTTCTTGCTATCCCTGAACATTGTGCCAACTTGCAATTTTCCCGATTGCCTGCATCAACAGGCATCTGATATTATGGTGTTATTGTGACCAGCCAGGCTAACCTGGTGGGATCTTTGTCCCCTTCATCCCTGGTGACATCGAGGAGCTCAAGCCGAAGGAGCTGAAGAACGGCCAGCTGACCACGGTGGCTTCCAGTGGATTTGTGATGTCTGCTCAGGTCAGTTGCTGTGCTCGCTCGCAATGCAAATTTAATCCCTATCTCACAAGCTCATGTTTACCCACCCGCAACTCCCAGCTCCCACAAACACAGGTTGAGCTGCTGATCTGAATCATACTTGGCTTGTGTTCGCATCAGGTTACGCGTTTGAACCCACTTGCTGCATTGGAGAGCCACCTGGACGACCCCCTGGGCTCCACCATCTTCTCCACGTCTGTTGTCATGCCCACTTCCTACTGTGGCCCAGGCTGCACCATCGCAGACTCTGTCAAGTTCTATGGCATTGAGATCCCCATCCCATGCTTCCTGGACGGCCTGTGGCCCTGGACACTAGGTTTGGAGAATGTGTAGAGCACCTGAAAATGTACGTGGTTCTGGAGCGGCATGTGGTTTGGGTTGGCAAGTCTTTAATGCAAGGAGAAAATTATGGCTCCTTCACATCTGGATTCCGTTCTTGATTCCAGGACTGGCTCTCCTGGTCAACAACATGACGATGTCCAAATGTATATGATTTCCAATTTTTGGCTCAAATTCATCAATGCATCTGGCTATGCAGGGATCTTTGTCTGTTCCATGTTCTTGACTTGTATTTTCCAATGCCACCTTCAAGAACTCCTTTTAGGCAAGGAATGGAAGTGTGAAAAGCAAAATTCGTGACTGGAATCCAGATTTCCCCAGGAACTTAGGGGCACCATACTTGATGAATACTTCAGATGGTGGTGCTGCTTTTCAGTTGAGTTGGCAACAGTAAATTTGACGATGTTGGGAGAAATGCCAGGCAGAATGTGGGGAAGAGGACTACAACTCCATCATTTCTGAATCTTGGGAATGCCCAAACAGCCTGTGCATCCACGCCCGCTTGCCACCCAAGCAGAACCCGTGCAGCACTGGGCTCAGGTGCACCATTTGCTTTTTGAGAGGCCCGCCGCTCAGGGAGTTTACTGCACTGATCGTCCCGAAGCCTCTGCTTTTGGCAAGGATATTCGAACGCCAACTGGAGGATTGAACTGGACCATGCACCTACCTTGAGACTGTACCGTTCCATGCCATCACCAAGTTCACACTCTGCCAGCTGGGCATCAAGCTGCTAGCTTGTGGCAACACGAGGGCAGGGGAGGTTCATGGCGCTGTTCTAGTGAGTTCATTTTGCGTTCTTGTTTTGTTGGTTCACCCCAACATCAAAAGTTGCAGCTGCTTGTTAGTTCCTACGATGTTTTCCAAGTTCTGGCAGCACATTGCTGGAGGGTGCTTTCTGCCTGTACATGCTGTTATTCAAAGCATGTTTGATATTGACGCCTCAGCGGAAGCTTGCTGTGGGTAAAGCGATGTAGATGGTGGGCATTTCATTCCGTGTCATCTGCATATTTCCATTCCACCTGTGGACATCCTCAAAAACTTCCTGTGATGTGCATGCTCTGCACTGCAAACTTGCATTGAGTTTCTTGGCTATCAGTGCCCTTACACAATTTGGACAAGCATTGAGGTTTAATGGCCATATCATCTTGTCATTCTTTTTTTTCCACGCCAGCATGTCCAATTCTGCACAGCGGTGAAGCCTGGACCCGATGAGGCACAAGCACATGTTTCAGATGCAGAAATGCTCATAGCTCCCTGCAAGATGTAGCAACAATGTTTCACCTTGTTAAGACATACAGCAACATTCGATTGTGACAGTGTTGTCTTGTGCACAGATCTTTGGCATCGCCGTTGGCCTGCCCAACATGGCTCTGATCCGGTTTAGGCAGCATGTCATGCCCGTCATGTTTGCTGCATCGCACCTACACGGGCTGGGTATGGCAGATTGTGAGGAGACGCTCACAAGGAGGTATTCAAGGAGCTGAAAGGGAAGGGTGAGAAAGAGGCGCACTGCCAAGGTTTGGCTATTTTTAGCTACCATTTTGTGCATACTAGTCATTGGAGCTCATGTTTTGTTAGTTGTGGCATTTAGCAGTGCTCGAAATAATGTATTATACAAATTGTCGTCATCACAATTCCTAATCTACTAGCTCGGAAGTCAGGCTCTTGGCCCAACCATGCCTTTCTTTCAATAGGTCGCGTTTTAAAAACATAGATATGGGCAATCTCGGGCTGTGTTGGACCCAAAGAGGGTCAAACTCCAAGCCCAGAGACGGCCGCACGATTACATTGGATCTCTTGGTCCCACGACAAGTCCGCTTGTCCGACACTTGCTAATGTGGCGCTACTGTCCAACACTTTGCTGGACAGACGCATATATGCGCCCAGCCACCATCCAAAATATGATGTTATCACACGACCACAAGTTGACAATATTTCAAAAATCATCTGCCAAATCCGGCCGCCCTCCACATGGTGCCCCGCCCAATGCATGGCAGATAACATCTCCATGGATGCTATTTTGACCCACTGTTCATCAACGTCATCAGTAATTGATAGAGCAAGTCAGTGTTCGAGTACCACTGAGCCACACACTATTCACAATCCACCCTTAGACTTGCCCTCTAATGGCCCACTGTCAACAGTGTGGAGCACTTGCTGCTAGATGGGTGCTCCCACGTCCACTCAATACTGTCCACTCTCCACTCTAGCCAACTCCAGGTCTTCTGTGTGTATACTGCACAGTGACATCCTTGCCGCCCTGATTCACAGTATTAGTTAGGCGTTAGATATGCACAAGCAAACATATCATACTCCCAATCCTTGCATAGTGCAAATGCATGGATTGAGTGTGTCACAAACAGAATGGTGAGTTGGCGAGTTGTCGCTGGCAATACTGCCTCTCACCTTGCAGATTCCTCCTTTCGGCCATCCTCCAATTGCTTGAGGAGGTCGTCACCAGCGACCCTCAAACCTGCCGCAAATGGCTCTCCTAGCAAGCGGAGGAGTTTGTCCCACTCCTCAACCTTTGAACGCGTTGCCTCGGATGCTTCCACCCTTTTGTAGCCCTTAACCTTGGTGAAGCTGACCCCGGTGTCCAGTGGCGACAATATCCCTTTAGGGACAAGGTCGCATCCCAAACATCTGATCTGCTCATCGGTGAGGTGTGCACTCATGATTTCATGGGCCGTCGCTTCTGAAAGTGAACATAAACAAAAAATGCTTGGTTGTGTATTGATGGAACCCGTTCATCACAAAGTGATCTATTTCGATGCTAAGAGGGATATTTGCAAGAATCCTCCAATTTTTCTGTACTTTTACAAGACGAAACCTCATTATCCATGTGTTCGCTTCACGTGTGCTGATACAAACAACACATAATGTATGTAACATATATGTTTGAACAAAGGCATCTTGCACCAACCTTCGCCAGCAAGGAGGGCAAAGCAAGCAGCAGACATCTTGGTCATGTCATCGGTTGTTGTGATTCTAAACGCTGCTTGAAACCCATCTGGCGTCAGGGGAATGAAGAGTCTGTTATCCCGCTTTTTGGTGAGGTTGCATGCAGACACCATCGCAGTCCTGCGCACCCACATGCATTTTTGTCAGCATTGACATGCCCCGAGTTATCCATCAATCCCCAGCTAACTAGCCCCGACGAAATGTCCTAATTGTTGCTGCTTAGCATAATATCCGTGTTTGTTGTTACATTAATGTTCTCACCGATGACATGGGTCTTTATGTTGTTGCGAATGCCTTCACCATTTTTCCAAAGATTCTTGGCTTCATCATGCAGCTTAGTCCGTGCCCTTGCTGAGGTCGTTGAATATGTCAGCAGCCTGTAAACCAACGCTTGCATTGGCTGGAGTGGCAATGTCGATGTGAGTGCACCAGATGGGACCTCAGAAGAAGGGACCTGCATGGCAGTGCGTGCACACAAATTCCAACCATTTAGAATCTGCACCAAATACAATAGTTGCCAATATGCGAAGAAAATCTATTTTATATGTGGTGTACAAGGGGTCTCGTGTTACAAGCGCACCTGCGAGGGTGATGGAGGACGTGCAATGATGCTTGGCAAATTCCTCAATACTGCAGTTGCCAATTCTCTTGGCAAAAGGCTGCTCTCCGCCAACACCTACAATGTAAGCGAACATACTCTCAATATGGTGATGTAATAATAGTTTAGAATATTAATGGTTCAAGATGAGGGTTCTACTCACCCTCAGTGGCTCTATGGACTCTTGGATTAGAGCCCCTGCAGTGAGCATTCGAGCTAGCCAAAGGCGATGGGCACATTGGTATGTCTCCAATGAGACCCGAACCAAGTGCGGTGCCTCATCCCTGAGCGCCAACTCCATGAGATGCAGCACTAGGCTGTACGAATACACGTACACCTTGCGCTTCATCAAGTAGCCTGATCCAAAAAAATGGAATTTGTTAATATCAATTGAAGCACTGGATATTATTGGTATAGTTGCCTCTTGTGTGCAAATGAAGAAATCATTACGTACAAATCTAATTGTATGTGAGGCAAACAAGCAAAATACATTATGTGTGTGGCTGGTTACATGCAAATGAAAGAAATGGCAGCAAAAACACAATTCTTCTCTATTTCATGCTAAGAGGTGGAATTGCAACAATGGAGACAGCAGCAAATGAAATTGCTTACTGTGCATCTCGGTATCAGCAAGCCAGACGTTGTCATCAAAGAGCTTCGCGAAGCTCTCGTCATCTGTCTTGTCCGCCTCCATAGCAGCATCGTCGTAGAAGTAGACAGTCTGCGAATAGGGCAAATTTGTAGTCTTGGAATTGCATATAATGGCAATGCAGGCTCCATCCAGTAGCTGGGGCTAACAAGGTCATTTAAAGACATGTGGCTTTTGCCATGCAAGGAAGGGAGAAATATGGTGTTTCATGATGAAGATACACAATACCCTCTTTGCCATTTTTATGCTATGGTGAGGGAAGGCATAGCTGTGCAAGAACATGATTTCACACCTTGTCGATATCAAGATGGTGCTGGT